TATAAAAAGGACATTGATATTAACTGTACATTTTGTAATTGTGTGAAGGAAGATATTTCTCATTTATTTTGGTCATGCTTATACACGAATCTTTTCTGGCAAGAATTTTGTGTTTTTGTTGTTTCCTTTATCTTTTCTGAGTTCTCTCTTTGTTACGAGAAAATATTGTTTGGTTTCTTTAAGTACCCCATGCACAGAGCAAACGAATTTTATTTGATTAATTTATTGATATTATTGGCTAAATTTCATATACATAAGTCGAAATTTTCTAACGCAAAACCATCCTTTCGGTGCTTTTTAAATGAAACCAAACAATATGTTAAAACCATACAACATTCCCAAAATCAAAAAGCTGTCAAAACCATAAACTTATGTTCCCTGTTCAATATCATGTGATTCTTTAATAGACTGTGTCTATTTTGTTTTTTTATATGAACCCCCTGACATTGTGTTTGCTATTTTGTATTTGTATATCTGTATTTTGTATTTTGTCAATAAAACGTATTCAAAAAAACAAAACAAAAAGGCTGCAGACCCTGAATTGGGATACAGTCACAAGTCATTGCTCCAAAAGTCGACCCCTGGAACAACCAAACTGCCGCCTTTTAAAAATGTTTACTTCCGCCGGATGTCCCGGTCTAAAGTTCTATGTGTTTGTGGCGTGCTCAGAGTCGTCATTGGTGGAAATCAAATTAAGCTTCAGTATCTTCGACGTATTGTTGCTGTGTGATTTTTATTACTATTAATGAAGGCTACTCGCCACCGAGTTAACATTGTTAGCTGGCGTTAGCTGAGTTTAGATAGGCTATTTCTTAATACTCAAGTACGCGAGTCTGTACTCGCGTTTTTACTTGTCCAGACTTCATAAGTTCACTGCCACAAACGATTGCCTATGTACCCAGACATTGACATTTTCCATGGGCTTACTATGATGAACTACAGAAGTTAAAAGTTATTAGAAATGTTACCATCAATGAACAGGGAACTAACAGGTAAAATACCAGTTCTCTGCTTCAGGTGGAGTGAAAACACTATAACAAATCTTTTAAATTACTACAAGACAAAATTTCACCATATATTCTCAACAATACAGATGCATCTGACTAAAATTTACATTTCAAATAATCATTTATCCACTTCACCTTCATATTGTCCGACCAGGTCAAAATGAACCATTCTGCTTTGACTGTTCCTTCTTTCCTCCCTTCTTCCTTTCCTCCCTCCTTCCTTCATTATTCCTAATTAATTTTAACAGTTCAGAATCAGAATACTTTATTGATCCCTTGGGGAAATTATTTTTCGTTACACTGCTCCATCATAAACAAACATTAACAAAGACAGACAATACATTAACTAAGAATAGCACAACATATACAGGCATATATATACATAAAAGTCACTTATTAATAAATAGCTGAAAAAGAACATGTGCAAGAAGGGTGTAGCTGTTGCAGTAAACAGTGTGTTAAGTGTATGAGTTGTACAGGGAGCCACAGGCGGGAATAATTTCCTGTGTCGTTCAGTGGTGCATTATGGGTAATCTCAGTCTTTCACTGAACGTGCTCCTGTGACTGACCAGCATGTCATGGAGTGGGTGGGAGGTGTTATCCAACACAAGAGTCTAACAATATGCAACTCTTGGTAACAGGTGAATGGTTATATAGAGGGAAAGGGGTTGATACTGTTGTGT